GGGGGCCACTGGGGGCAGCAGCGGGGCCACGAAGGGCAGCCATAGGGGCTACAGAGGGCATAAGCGACTGGGGGCCACGACGGACGTGTATATGGGCCACAAAGGGCCTACGACAGGGCAGCGAAAGTCAAAAATGGGGCCACTGAGGGCACAAGCGACTGAGGGCCACGAAGGACGTATACATATGGGCCACAAAGGGTAGCGAGGGGGCCTCATTACGCAGAGGGGGGTGGCACACGGGGCTACACTGGGGCCACGAAGGGCAGCAGTGGGGCCACTGAGGGCACGAGCGACTGGGGGTCACGAAGGGCATATAAATGAGCCACAAAGGGCAGCGACGGGGCCACTGAGGGCAGCAGCGGGGCCACGAAGGGCATCCATGGGACCACTGAGGGCACGAGCAACTGGGGTTCACGAAGGGCGTATACATTGGTCACAGAGGGCAGCGATGGAGCCCACTGAGGGCAGCAGCGGGGCCACGAAGGGCAGCAATGGGGCCACTGAGGGCACGAGCGACTGGGGGCCACGAAGGGCGTACATATGGGCCACACAAGGCAGCGAGGGGGCCACTGGGGGCAGCAGCGGGGCCACGAAGGGCAGCCATGGGGCTACGTAGCGGCTACAGAGGGGACAATCGACTGGGGGCCACGACGGACGTGTATATGGGCCACAACGGGCCTACGACAGGGCAGCGAAGGTCAGCAATGGGGCCACTGAGGGCACAAGCGACTGGGGTCACGAAGGGCGTATAAATTGGCCACAGAGGGCAGCGAGGGGGCCACTGAGGGCAGCATCGGGGCCACGAAGGGCAGCGACTGAGCCACAAGGGGAGGGCCACGAAGGGCAGCAATGAGGCACAAAGGGCGCGAGCGAGCATGGGGCACGAAAGGCATGACCCTGACGGGCGGGCCGAGCGGGTTGATCGTGAGTTCTGCGTGGCTCGCCAAGAAATTTCCAACGAGAGAGCGATTCCTAAGTAAATTTACGGAAGCCCCAGCGAACGCGCGATTCATGAATGGCAAGAGCGCGGCGCCCGAGACGTCTCAGGCGGGAGCGCGATTCTTGAGTAAAGCGCGGGGAAGTCTCAAGCGGGAACGGGGGACCGGAATACATCCTGAGGAAATATCAAGCGGGAGCCGTTGTTGTTGAAAACCGGGTGCCAGGGGCGTAGTTTGAGGAGGAATACTTGCCCAGCTTAAGAACAAGGTGCGAGCGCCAGGAGGGGCACTTCAATTGAAAAAATACATTGTGCACTGGAGGGGGGATCAACAATACTCATTCTCCTGTAGTGAAAGTTCAACAACAACAACAACAACAACAACAACAACAACAACAACAACAACAACCAGGTACAGGCCGGCATGGTCCCCCCGGGGTCCGGGGCTTCACTTCCCGCGTCCGCCACAGTGGAGGAGGCCGGTCCCGCCCCCCCGGTGAGTCGGATGGGGGGGGGGGGAACAACACAACACAACACAACGAATTCTGTATGAATTCTGTATGAATCCTACACGCTCCCTACGGATTCCCATCGGAATCCGTTCGGGACCCTCTAGGAGTCTTTGGATCCCTCCAGGGACTCTATAGAATCCCTGTGGATCCCTCCAGGGACTCTATAGAATCCCTGTGGATCCCTCCAGGGACTCTATAGAATCCCTGTGGATCCCTCCAGGGACTCTATAGAATCCCTGTGGATCCCTCCAGGGACTCTATAGAATCCCTGTGGATCCCTCCAGGGACTCTATAGAATCCCTGTGGATCCCTCCAGGGACTCTATAGAATCCCTGTGGATCCCTCCAGGGACTCTATAGAATCCCTGTGGATCCCTCCAGGGACTCTATAGAATCCCTGTGGATCCCTCCAGGGACTCTATAGAATCCCTGTGGATCCCTCCAGGGACTCTATAGAATCCCTGTGGAGGGATCCCTCTATAGAATCCCTGTGGATCCCTCCAGGGACTCTATAGAATCCCTGTGGACCCCTCCAGGGACTCTATAGAATCCCTGTGGATCCCTCCAGGGACTCTATACAATCCCTGTGGATCCCTCCAGGGACTTTATAGAATCCCTGTGGATCCCCCCAGGGACTCTATAGAATCCCTGTGGATCCCTCCAGGGACTCTATAGAATCCCTGTGGATCCCTCCAGGGACTCTATAGAATCCCTTTGGATCCCTCCAGGGACTCTATAGAATCCCTGTGAATCCCTCCCGAAGCCTTCGGGTGCACCCCATGTGGGGCCACGAACCGTGTGAGGGGTGCGCCGAAATGGGCCCGAAACCTTCGGCTGCGCCCCCTGTAGGGCCACGAACCGTATGAGGGGTGCGCCGAAATGGGCCCGAAGCCTTCGGGTGCGCCCGATGTGGGGCCGCGAAAGCTTTCGGCTGCGCACCTTGTAGGGCCACGAACCGTGTGAGAGGTGCGCCGAAATGGTCCCGAAGCCTTCGGCTGCGCCCCCTGTGGGGCCACGCACCGTGTGAGGGGTGCACCGAAATGGGCCCGAAGCCTTCGGGTGCGCCCCATGTGGGGCCACGAACCGTGTGAGGGGCGCTCCGAAATGGGCCCGAAACCTTCGGCTGCGCCCACATGTGGGGCCACGAACCGTGTGAAGGGTGCGCCGAAATGGACCCGAAGCCTTCGGGTGCGCCCGATGTGGGGCCGCGAAAGCCTTCGGCTGCGCCCCCTGTGGGGCCACGAACCGTGTGAGGGGTGCGCCGAAATGGGCCCGAAGCCTTCGGGTGCGGTCCCTGTGGGGCCACGAACCGTGTGAGGGGTGCGCCGAAAGGAATCCCGAAGCCTTCGGCTGCGCCCCGTGTGGGGCCACGAACCGTGTGAGGGGTGCGCCGAAATGGGCCCGAAACCTTCGGCTGCGCCCCCTGTGGGGCCACGAACCGTGTGAGGGGTGCGCCGAAATGGGCCCGAAGCCTTCGGGTGCGCCACATGTGGGGCCGCGAAAACCTTCGGCTGCGCACCTTGTAGGGCCACGAACCGTGTGAGGGGTGCCCCGAAATGGTCCCGAAGCCTTCGGCTGCGCCCCCTGTAGGGCCACGAGCCGCGTGAGGGGTGCGCCGAAATAGTCCGGTGGAACCCTGTAGGGGTTCTATGGGACTCCGATGGAACCCTGTGGAGGTCGAATGGGAGTCCGATGGAACTCTGTAGGGGTTTTATGGGCGTCCTATGGAACCCTGTAAGGGTCGTGTGGGAATCCTATGGAACCCTGTACGGATCCCACAGGATCCTCCTGTAGGGGTGCGTTGTGTTGTGTTGTGTTGTTCCCCCCCCCTCCCCCCCTCCCCCCCGGGGGGGCTTGCCCCGCCTGTATCAACAACCACCACAACAACAACAACAACAACAGCAACAACAACAACAACAACAACAACAACAACAACAACAACAACAACAACAGCCACAACAGCAACAGCAACGACAGCAACACCATATCTGTATATATACACACACCTATACGACCACCCTTCAGGTGATAAGGAGGTTGTGGGGGGGGAGAAAGGTGGGGGAACCAACATCTGACTCAATCGATCTCACTATCGATCTCACTCAACGGGACACCACGGGACACCATCTCACTATCGATCTCACTATCGATCTGACTCCACGGAACACCACGGGATACCTTCGGGACACCGCGGGACGCCTCTCGATCCCGCTATCGGTCTCACTATCGATCTTACTCAACGGGACACCACGGGACACCACGGAACACCTGTCGATCTCACTATCGATCTCACTTTTTGGGACACCACGGAACACCACGGGACACCTCGGGGCACCACATCGATCTCAATATCGATCTCACTCAACGGGACACCACGGGACACCACGGGACACCACTGGACACCTGTCGATCTCACTATCGATCTCATTACCGATCTCACTTTTTGGGGACACCATGGGATACCACGGGACACCTCGGGGCACCACATCGATCTCACTATCGATCTCAGTATCGATCTCACTATCGATCTCATCGATCTCACTATCGATCTCACTCAACGGGACACCACGGGACACCACGGGGCCACCGCCGGACGGAGGAAAATAATGTGTCTTGACTTCGCCCTAGCAACGGCAGACACCACGGGACACCACGGGACACCACGGGGCGACCGCCGGACGGAGGAGACTTCGCCCTAGCAGCGGCGGGTTCATTCCTCTCGCGCGCCCACGTAGCTTCGCCCCGCCCGCACGCACGACAGGAACGATCTCACTATCGATCTCACTTAACGAGATCTTGCTATCGATCTCACTATCGGGCCACCACATCGATCTCACTCAACGGGCTACCAGCGGGACACCGGCGGGACACCGCGGGGCACCAGCCGCCGGAGGAGTTACATTTGGTCCGGCCGCGGCCCAGCCACAGGAGGATTCCCTCTCGCCCGCCCACGCAGCTTCGCCTCGCCCGCACACGCGCACGGCACGCACGACACGAACCCGAAGCCGACATCGACTTCCCGGTAGGGGGGGTCTGCGTCTCACGTCGGACTCACCCCCCAACCTCCGATATATATATATATATATATATATATATATATACATATCAGCGAGCGAAGAACGGTATCAAATAAACTTTTGCGCCGTCGGGGACACCTGCCCCTGGGCGGCTGGAAACTTTACACCCCTACGGTGCCACCGTAAGGGTATAAACTTTCCAGCCGCCCTGGGGCAGGTGTCCCCGACGGCGAAACAGTTTCTGTTATACCGTTCTTCGCCCGTTAACTATATATATACACACATAAAATGTAAATATACAGATGGGCACAGACTGAAGACAAGACGCAACGGGCACGAGCTCGCCATCGCTCGCACGTCCATTCCCTGTGTTTTCTTTCGGCTTCGTGCGTGGCTTTTTTCCAAATGATCAAGGATGCTCCTCGATGGTCCTCGCCGAAGCAAAAAAGCACACGTCCGAGCGATGCCAGGAGAGCAGGACAGCGCAGGGGGCACGGCGCGATCGAGCTGCGCACGCCGTGCGCGGCGGCGGCGCCTTGATCGGCACGTACGCCGCCGCCGGCACGAGCCCCGCCAGGTGCCGCGCGCCGCCGCCGCCGCCGCCGGGCGCGCCCGGGGCGCCGGCGAGCGGCGGGGCACCCGGCCCCGCCTGCGGGGAGGGGGGGGGGGCAGGGGCAGAGGGAGGGAGGGGGAGGGGCAGGTCCGTGTCATGACGACCCTGGCGTTGGTTTCTGACACAGCGTGGATCGTTCAACCTTGACTGATCGGCGGCTTTTCGATCGCCAGATCGTTACATATATATATATATATATGTATATATATATATATACATGTATATATATATATATATATTACAGAATATTTATATATATATATATAAAAATATATCGGGGCCGATTCTGGGCCAATGGCGGCGTTCAACCTTGAACGCCCGCGGCGGGGTCGCCGCCGGTCGACACGACGCGGACCTACCGTAGGGGCAGGGGAGGGAGGGAGCGATGGGGGGAAGGGCGGGCGGGCGAGGGGGGGAGGGGGGGGCAGCCGCGAGGGAGCTGCTCGCAAGTGGCCTGGTTCCGCCGAGGAGGGCTTACGACCCATCACATCGGGGCGAACATGTCTTTGTGGAACGTTTGCGAGTAGGCACTTTGCGAGAATTCTAACGCGCCCGGTGCCAGAGGAAGCGGAGGCAGGAGAACACAGGTAGGAGACGGTGCGGTGCGATACGGCTCATGGCGTTCTGATCTGCCACGCCAGCCAATCATGGACGGCACTGCCGATCTACCCAGGACTCTTAGGGGTCTTTGTAAGAACCTTTCACCTTGCAACTAGCTCGCGAACTCGGAACGGTGGCGCAGGATGAGGGAGGAAATGACGGAGGAGAAAGGAGGGAAACGGGAGGGAGAAGGTAAGCATAAGTCGGGGATTTTCTGACCCGGGTCAATCCAGACCCAGGTCAGTCAAGACATGCAGGATCCTGCAGGACCATGAAGAATCCTGCACCCAAGCCCGAGTCAATGCATCCCTGGCTCTGCAGGATCCTGCAAGATCTGGCGCTCTGACTGACCGCCGTTTGCATGGACCCCCGTCTCTTGAGCCTCGAATGAGGATGTCACGACTCGCGCTGGCGCCGTCTGGGAATTGGCCATTCCTGAGCATTCGCAGACGGCGCTGGCACAAATCCTGACGTTACTGGCCCCCTTCCCTGTCGTGGGCTGTGCCCAGATGGGGCCCTGCAACACGAGGAGGGGGCCCGCGCCGCTCTGCCGAAGGAGAACGGATGTCGGGGGAGGATGCCTCCTTCCATCCCCCCCTTCCGCCTCCCCTTCCTCCTCCCACTCCCCCTTCCTCTCCCCTCACATCCCTTCCCCCAAGCCCTGCTCACGCCCGTCATCGCCGGGGGATAAGAAGAAGGGCGCGAGGCGGGAGGGGGGGCAAGGAGGGAGGCTCTGCCATCGTTCGGTCGTCCATTCCCGCTGCACTGTTTGGGTTAGCGCACGTTGTTTCTCAAGATGATCCGAAATACTCCGAGATGGTCCTGACTGTTGGGGCCACGACGAAAAACATCCGCCGACCACATCATCAATGAAGGGCGTCGCCGGCACCTAGGCGACAGCAACATTTTGAATCAGAGATGTGGCCCGCGCACAAGCGAGAACAACACGCTTAATGAAGGATGTCGCTGGCGCCCCGGCGACAGCAACATGTGCACTCAGAGATGTGGCCGACACGCGGGCGAGGACAGCACGCTCAATGAAGGATGTTGCCGGCGGCCAGCCGACAGCAACATTTTCAATCATAAGTGTGGCCAATTCACAAGCGACAACAGCACGCTCAATGAAGGATGTCGCCGGCGCCTGGGCGACAGCAGAATTTTCAATCCAAGATGTGGCCCACGCCCAAACGAGAATATCACGTTCAATGAAGGATGTCGCCGGCGCCGAGGCGAAGGCAACACTTTCAATCCGAAATGTGGCCCATGCGCAAGCCGGAACATCATTGCGAGACAAGCGTGTCGCCAGAATGCAGGTGTCACACCCATTCCGTGCTGGCCGGGCTCGGTGTCACCGAGGTCTGGGCTACGTTAGCTGGATAACCTACGGTAAGGGAGGGTGGTGTACGCAATGGCCTATGCCTACAAGTGTGAGACCACGACGCAAACATAGCAGTCATTTCGCCTTGCTGTGGTAAAGGGTGGTACTAAAAATTTATCATGCCGTAAGGTTTCTGGCCTCTTCCTGTCTCCCTGGAGAATCAGGGGCTGCGCGTTGCGAAGCTTTCTACGTAACGTTTTTTGTGACATTTCGGCGGCGGGTTGCGTCGACATCGCAGATGGGCCAGAATCATTTCCTTTATTGGGCGTGTGCGCCCCTTCTTGGCTTGGAGTCCATGGACGTGTCCGCCCCAGCTGGGATGTCAGTACGGTCCGGCAGAGAGGGCATGGCCTTTGACCTTGGCATGTGTAGCACGGTCGGCCTGGCAGCTGACAAGGCCACAGCCGAGGCCCTGGCAAAGGCCTCAGCAGGTGGTCCATCCTGGAAGTTTGCTCAACGTTGTCCTTTTCTTTGCTGATTGCCAAAGGGTCTCCACTTGGAACCTCCCAGTTTAGGCTGTGGCTGTTTGCTGGCTCAGTTCTTCTTTGACCCTTGAAGGCAGGTCCTTTGTCGTCTTCAGTTTTCTCATTGGTGCGGCATCAAGTTGGGCGTCAGGTTTCGACTTGTCCCCGCCCGTGGCCGAGCTCGAACCTCCTGGGCCTACAGCGAGTAGCGTCGGTGCCCGCTTGACCCGAACAGCCGGGTCCGCCAATGACTTGTCCGACCTTTTTGGGACCGGCTGATCAGGCATATGTCTCGAGCCGCCTTTGAAGCGTTCAGCTATCTTTTAAAAACTGCTTTCGCGCGCAGTAGGGTCGTGCTTGTCCCAGTTATTGTTGTTCTTGTCCTCCCCGAAATCGGCGGACCCCCCCCCAGGTCCACCTCCTGGTCTGGGCGCAGCCTCTTCTCAGGATCAGCGTTCTCCTGAGCCATCTGGGGGTGTTCGCCCGTCTCCTTATCCGGGTTGCTTTCGCCCTGGGCGCGTCCGCCCGGCGGCCCGGGAGGTCAAGCGGGCGCAAAAGGGCCGCTCGCCCTGCCCCCCTCCTTCTTCCATCTTCTCGTCTGCCGCTCGGGTCGACGCTGGGGGGGGGGGGGGGGGGGCGCAGGGGCCTCGGCCCTGGAACTACCAATGATCTGACCTGTCTTGTTCAGCTCGCGATGGCGAGGAACGCGGGGGGCACTGTCGCCCCTGTCGGCAGCGGGGCAATCTGCCGGGTGTCGGTGGCGCCAGTCCGCGCTGTAGATCTTGAGGACGTTGGTGTCGCCCAGATCAGCGGCCGCCCTCCGCCCGCGCCATCGCCACGATCGGGGGCCCAAGGCGTCTTGCCATGATGGGGGCTGCGAGGTGGGCGGCCCGTCGGGCAATTACCGCGATGCTGACTGCGAGCCGGGCAACAGCGCATGCGGCATTCCCTGCGATCGCTGGTGGGATCTCGCTCGCATGCCCGCGTTGCGCCGCCGCCCCTGCCGCGACGTTCTGACGTTCTGATGGCGCGGCCCCTGTCGTCGCGGATGGCGCGATGCTAGAAGAACCAACAGTGGCGAATACGTGCCTCCGCGTAACCTTCCTCGAAAAAATCCCCCACGTCGGATTCGTCGATCTCCGCGCGCGGGCCCCGGTCGTCGCGAGAGGGAAAGGCGCGCCCCTTACCAGTGGAGGCGCGCCCCATTCCCCGGCCTGCATCGCTGCAGCTCGCGCCGCGCACGGGCCCGGATGACTGAGCGTAGCCTCTGCGCTTGTCGGGGCCGGCGCCGCGGGAATTACTGCGGCCGCGGCCAGGGCCGACCGCGCCCAGACCTCGTTGTCGCGCAGCGTTAATTCATGCGGATTGCACATGCATCGCCCTTTCTGCAGCCGCTGCCTGTTCCAAGGCCGCATTGTTCGATGGGGGGTCCACCCTCCTACTCGCGGCTGGGCGATGGCTGCGGCGGCGTCTTGGACCCGCCTGTTGTTGGTGTTGTTGTTCCAGGCGGTCAACCAGTTGAAAGGATTTGGCGCTGCATGGGCCGCAAGTGCGCCCGCGTCCTGCATCGACGGGGCGTTTGCTGCAGGTGCCCCCGCATCGTGCGCGAGCGGGATCAGATTTGCCATCGCTGGGGGCGCGTCGGGGGCATCGACGCCCAAACTCCACCCAACCTTCTGCGCCGGTCAAATATCTCTTGAGCCTGCTGGATGGCCACGGCTGCTGAGCTCGCTGCGTCAACGCGCCCCGCATGTGGACATTCCGCCGGGGTGATGCCCGGTACCCTGCAGATAGCATATGGAGCCACTATATCGGCCCCTGCCTTTCCTCTTGACACGTGCACCCGACCGCTGCGGCCCCAGCATTCGGCGCGGCGCAGGTGATTGCAGCCCCCGCATCTTTTCGCACAGTGCGACGGACTGGAAGCACGCGGCGCACTGCGTGAAGGATATTTCCGACACCACCGGTGCGTCTGAGCTCGGGCGCGTTCGCCCTTGCCGCTGCAGCGTAGACTCATCCGCCTCGCATGGAGACGGCGGGGGCCCCTTCCTGGACCTCGGAATGGACCGCGTAGTCAGCGCGTGTCCGCGCTGGGCGCTGCTGTGGGCGATTTGTTGCATCGGCCGTGCGTTTCGGTATCGCGCGGCCCTTCGGGCCTCTTCCGCCGCTTGCACGCTTGCTTGCATCGTCGCGTGAGTGTCGTGCAAAACGTCGACAACGTGCTTGCCGGTGGGTTGACCTCAAGTGCTGATGGCTACGCTATCGCGTCTGGGTCTGTAGGCGAAAAATGATAACCCACGCGCGGATACGCCGCCCTGAGCCCGGAACGCACACCTCCTGCAAGCAATTGAAGTCATCCGCCGTGTCCCGCGCGACTTGGCCCTGGGCCAATTGGCCCAGCATTAGTGTTCCATTACTCCTGAGACAACGGCTGATCCATCCGCGGTGGAGCTGGCTGGCCCGCGGACGAGAAGGCATGTTGTGCGCGCGGCAGAGGCCGGAATGCATGACAGCCTGTCTGGGTGCTCTGCCGACGGGCTCGCATCTGGGCGACGCCCCCCCAAGATTGCCCAGCTGTTTCGATCTGCCACATCCACTCCGAGCAGCCTCATCTCAGGCATGGCTGTCTGGAATTGCTGCTGCATACAGTTGTAATGCTCACGTGCTGATTGCCTGTGTCCGAGCTGGTCTGTAATATTGGCTGCTATCGGCGAGCTTGCTGGACTGCAAGTGGCCTGGCCTTGGCGTGGAGCGTCGAAGGGCGCTGCTGCCCTGATAGCGGCTGCCAGGTCTGGAAATTGGCGCAGCATGGCCATGCGCTGCATAGGGTCCTCATTGCTTGTCGATGCAGATTGTAGGCCATTAGGCGTGTCCGCCCTTGACGTTAGGCCTGGTTTGGACCTTGGCTGACCGAATGCCGTGGGCTCGAACCTAGTAGAGCCAGCGTTTGGCAATGGCCTTGCTGGCCCGAAACTCGTAGGATGCCCTGCTGGCACATTGATCAGGGCGTCTGCCCACGGATCGAACCAACCGAAAAAACATCAGACAGAGTAGAGACGTCGTTGGATGGCGGCATCATCCTTGAGGATGACCCTGCATCGGTGGGCAAGGCTGCCGGTGGGCGCGGCTGCATCAACGGGTGTCCCCGCGCCCATCAATAGGCTAACGGTTTCTATTGGTTCCGGCCGGTGTTCTTCTAGAGCGAGAACCCTCCTGGGCGCGGCCGCCCTAGCGACGGATGAAGGTGTGCATTCTTCTGCGCCAGGATACCCCATGGGCGGGGCAACCCCAACACCGAATGGCGCTTCGGGCGCGAGCCAGCTGTGCTGAAGTTCGATATCACCAGTGTTTATCGGTCAACCCCGTAGCTCATGGTATTCGTCATCGAGATACTGAGGATTGCGCCAAACATATCCATGCTCATTTCGGGTGTCACAGCATGATACCGTTGAAGCCGCCCGTCTCAAAAGCATGAAGTACTTGGTCAGGTGATACCGTTGAAACCGCCCGTCAAAACAAGATCGTTGGCCTAACGCCACATCATTGTCCCATATTGCAACAGACGTGGGAATCTATGAAAATGTATAGGTCGGTGTCGGGCCTGAAGCTTGACCCGATCCTGGGGGCGCCTGGCAACTATGGACATCCGCGCACAAACTGTCAGCCGGCCCTTCCTCGTGGATTGTGTTAAACGACCTGACAGTCAAATTTCAGGGATGCTGGGTGGGTACTTCCACATAGATCCACGCATGAAGGCTGGGTGGCCTTGTGAGTGAGACCATGAGTTCCGCCGCCTAAACCTGTTACAAGTTCGTACAATCCTTCTGCGCATCGTATGCCAAGAAACGAGTGTTCGCTTGTGGTTATGATCCACAATGTTGGGACATCCTCGATATCGCACGCGTGATTCAGGTGGAGGCGCGCTATCCTACTACCCGAATGCTCCGTCATTTTGGCGATGTGTAAAAGTAACCATGCTATATATTATGGTGTTTGGCCGCGCATCCACTTGACGCCGCAGCGATGACCGCCCCAACTGTTGGCCGGAACTTCCATGATGGCTACCCATCCATCGTGAGGATCCCAGGACCAGCGCGTCTTCGCAAAACGCTCATCATAAGTATTGTTACACACACCCCTGACCTGACCCAGGCCCTGTCGACACTGCGCCAAAACGAACCTGACCCACTAAAGTTCACGTGGCCAACGGCTCGGCGACACCAGCGTGCAACGCGCGCGCGGCGTAGCAGATGACGCACCAGAATGGGGCGGCACAACAACATGCAATGCACAAGTGCCAACTGTATTTCTCATCCTTTTTGCTACCCAAGAAAAATCTGGCCTGCGCTGAAGCGAGAGCAACTCTCGCAATTATGAACGTGGCCGGCCGGAGAGCAACACTGTCAATCATGGACGCGGCCGGCGCTAATCCAAAGATCGCCCTGAAGTGACTATTGGCATTTTCGCCCCCCTCCTGTCTCAGGGGGGCTCGTCAAAAGAGCCCGTGGTCCCGCGTATGAATACCGCCCCCCTTTTGGGTCTAGGCGGGTCCCAGGGATGGGCGGCACCAGCAGGGATCCCTGGGGAGGGCCCGCCTTCAGGATCGGCGGCACAGGCCCAAAAGTCTTCACGATACACTTTTTGATCCGCGGGGCGAGAGCGAACCTATTCCGCTACAAGCTAGGCGGGCTAGCTTTAATTGGGGAGACAGGGCACAGGAAGGCGACCGTCTTCACAATACACACGTCCGAGCGGTGCCAGGAGGAAGAGGGAGGGAGCGAGGCAGAGGAGCGAGGCAGAGGAGCGAGCGAGGCAGAGAAGGGAACGAGGCAGAGGAGGGAGCGAGGCAGAGGAGGGAGGGGGGGAGGCAGAGGAGGAGGGAGGAGCGAGGCAGAGGAGGGAGCGAGGCAGAGGGAGGAAGAGGGAGGGCACGAGGCAGAGGAGGCCAACCCGACCACCTCGGCGGCGGGCGCGGCAGGATCGGCGACGGGCCCCGCCGCAGGCTTCGCGCAAGCCCCCTTCGCCTTGGCCTTCTTTTTGGCGGGGCCCGCGAGCTCCTGGGGGCCGACGTGGCGCCCTCCTGCTTCCCCCCCTGCTCCCGTGGCGAAGGAGCAGCAAGCACGCGGCACAAACACACACTGTTGGCGGCCCGCGCGGAGGTCCTGGAGTGGAGCTGGACCCCCTCCCTGGCGGGCGGAGCGCACCGGGAGCGGCGCCAGACGCGCCCCCCGGGGGGGCCCAGAGCGGGACCCGAGAAATCCGCGAAGGGCGTCGAACGTTTACGTTTCTGCTGTGGTTGCTTTCCCTCGATCCTCCCCCTCGGCCCCCTCCTCCTCCAAGCACACGGGCCCCAGGGCACGCAGATCCTCTTGGCTGAAGCGCGTCCGCAACGGTGCCATTCCGTCTTCAGGCACGGATCCAATGAGGGCGGGGCGAAATGTCGTAGCCATACAGCAACGGACTGTTGCGCAGAATGCGCGGGTGCTTATCAAACGATATCGGCTGTGAGGGGCTGGATAGCTTCGAGGGGCTCTCCGCTTTCCCGTGCGCCCTCCACCGTGTCCCCCTCGGGCGCGGCGCCCGTGGGGGGACGCCTGGCTGTGAACTTTCCCACCCGCCCGCACTCGAGGAGGAAGATGAGGAGGAGGACAAGGAGGAGGAGGACGAGGAGGAAAAGGAGGAGGAGGGAGAGAAGGAGGAGGGGGAGGGGGAGAATGAGGAGGAGGAGGAGGACGCGCCGCAACCCGAGTTATACGATGTCATACGCGCAACCCGAGTTGCGCCGGACGCGAGCCGACACGCTCTGCACGAGGTGACTGCCGACAGCGCGGGCAGCGCGCAGTGCACTGGAAGCGGGCCGGCGCGTACGCGAGGCTCGCAGGGAGCACGCAGAAGACAGGCCAGAGGGACTGGGCCTATACAGAGCCGGAGCAGATCAGCAGAAACGAACCTCTAGGCCAGCATGCCTGCGAGAAACGACTGACAAGATCGTTGACCATCTAGAGCTCCTGTGGCCCACCATGAGGGTCGTCGTGCAACTTCTTGGGTTTCTTCGCCTTCTTCTTGGGCGCCGGATCCTCGCGGGCTATTCGCGCGGAGATGCACCGCTGTGCTTTGGCGCTCCTTCAGCTCAAGCTCCTGATCGTCCTCCATATTCATCCAGCCTCCCTGATGTACTATCCTCCTGTTCTTCGTGATGATGATAATGACAATGGCAATGATGATGATGACGATGGTGGCGGAGATGGTGATGGTGGGGATTATGCTGATGCGGATGGTGGGGCTGATGATGGGAATATTAATGATAATGATGAGTGTGATGATGTTGATGATGGTAAGACGATGGTGATGATGAGGATGATGATGATGATGAATATGGTGTTGCTGGCCATGGCGATGATGATAAAACAGATGATGATGATGATGATGATGATGGCGATGAAGATGATGGTGATGTTGATGACAAGTATGATGATGATGATGATGATGATGCTGATGGTGATGCTTACGATAATGATAATGGTACTGATCATGACGACGATGATGGTGATGATGACGACGATGGTGATGAGGATGACGATGCTGATGATGATGATGTTTATGATGATGATGGTGATGATGATGAACATGATGGAGATGCGGGTGAGGCTGAAGGCGCTCATCACAACCATCATCAGCAGCATCACAATCATCAGCAACATCGTCAACGGCACCATCATCCTCAACATCATCGCCATCATCATATTCAACAACACGCTCATCCTCGCCATCCTGATCCTGCATATGCATCCGCATGCTCATCATCATTTCCCTCCCTTCCCCGTTTCCCCTCAACCCCACTATACCTCGTGATGGCCCGATGTTTCACCCTCCTCCCCCCCCTCCTCCTCCTGCGGAGACGACATCTGGAGGGGGGGAGGACGACGACGACGAAGGAGCGGTGAGGTTCGAGCAAGAAGTGGGGGCGCGGAGGGAAAGGGGCCAGGTGGTCGTGGGACGGTGGCATTGGCGGTGTCGGCGGGCTCGCGTCCTACAGAGGCCCTCGTGTGGGGCCTTTGGGGGACGCAGGGGCCAGGGGAGACGTGGGAGGCGAAAGAAAGCCTCCCCCTCCAGGGCGCCCTGCGCTGCGGGCCAGGAAGGAGGAGGGAGGAGGGCGGAGGAGGGACGGAGGAGGGAGGGAGGGAGGCAGGGAGGGACGGAGGAGGGAGGGAACTGGAGGAGGGAGGGGGGAGGAGGAGGGCGGAGGAAGGACAGGGTTCCTGCCTTCCGAGCCTGGCGTGTGGCGTGGCGCGCCCCGGTGGTGCCCCGCCGCCCCGCGGGGGCCCCGCGCAGGGCCGCGGAGGAGGACGCCTCTCGAGCAAGGGGCCGCAAGGGGACCCCCCGCACCTGGCCGAGGGGGGGCCCGCCTCCCGTCGCGGGAGCGGTGCAGGAGGAGGCGGGAGGAAGGGAGGAGGGCGCGGAGGAGGGAGGGGGGCGGGGGGGAGGAGGTGGAGGAGGAGAAGGGGGGGGAAAGAGGAGACAGGAGGGGGAGCTGGAGGAAGGAGGGAGGAGGAAAAGGGAGGAGGACGCGGAGGAGGAGGAGGAGCAGGAGGAGGAGGAGGAAGGGGGGGGAGGGGAGGAAAAAAGAGGGAAGAGGACGCGGGGGAGGAGACAAGAGGGAGAGGGGAGGAGGAGGAAGGAGGGAGGCAGGGTGGGACGGAGGAGGGACGGAGCTGGAGGAGGGAGGGAGGATGAAGGAGGACGGAGGAGGCGCCAGGAAGGAGGAGGCGGAGAAGGGACGGCGAGGAGCGGATCTCTGATCGACCCCCCTCCATCGTTCTCGGCGGCGTGGCCAGGGGGTGCAGTTAGAGGCCAACATGGGGTCGGAATAGATGTGGTCTCAGGATCGCGCCGCGTCGGCGATACATGGGCGATGCATCGGCGATGCATCGGCGACGCATCGGCGATGCACCAGCGATGCACCAGCGATGCACCGGCGACGTGGGCGATGCATCGGCGACGTCGACGTGAAGCATATCGGGCTCCACATCGAGCCGCATCGGCGATGCATCGCCGATGCGGCGCGATCCTCCGGCCCCTTTAACGCCGACCCCATCTAGGAGGCCTAGAGCAGTGAGAAGGGGGGGCGCCTTCTCAAAGGCGGCGGGGGCCTCTCGGAAGCGCTCGCGGCGCCCTCGGAGGGTCCGTCCCGGTGCCCGGGGAGGGCCCAGGACGACTTCTCGGGAGGGCGCAGCCCCGCCCCCTTCTGAAAAGGCCTGCCCCCTTTCACCCCCCCCATGGGCACGCCGCCGCACGCCGCCGAGCAACAGTACACCGAAGTTCTATACGAGGCAGAGGTACAGTCGGGATCACACATGCACGAGCGAAAGTACGATGGAAAATGACAAGGAGTGCCTTTCCACCGACGAACGGCAGAGAGAACTGCTCGCGCGTGTTGGAACAGCGTCTGAAGCCAAGGCCGCGATTGAGACCGACAGCCTGACAATAAGTACTCGCATATGACTCTGAGCCTGACGCTGTTTCGTAAAAGACTGACATGAAACAAAGGGCCCTGGGTCACACAAAACCGCCGACCCCCTTGTGGGTCTCCAAGCGTGTGAGATTGTTTCCCTCCTGAATCCCCCCCCCAAGGACCCCAAATCGGGAATTTTACCCCCCCCCGCCTGGGACGACCCCGTACCGAACTCGCCTGGGCGGTCTGGGCTCTTTGGGCTCGCTCTTCAGCTTCACGACAGCAACCCACGCCTCACGAGAAGCCGCCAAGACGGTCCACGAGAACCCAAAGTCGCCGAACGATCGTTCCAAGACGCCCAGGATGAGCTCAAAACGGCCCAAGAGGCCGCCAAGACACCCCACGAAACCTCCAGGAGGCCTCCCAAGAAGCCCCCCCCCAACAAAAAAATCTTCAAAATCCCTTGGGAGAGCGGGCATTTTCAGCATCTCCAACTTGTTAGCCTTCACGGCGTTCAAAGCCGTCCACAAGGCCCTCCCGAGGCCACCAAGACCACCCCAAGACGGCCCACGAGGTTCCCAGGAGGCCCAAAAGACAACCCCAAAGACTCCAACGTGGCCCAAGAGTTAGTAATGTCATTCTACTGGCGAAGCTTTTGACGACAAAACGTAATTCAAAAAATAAACGCTTAAACACCAAATGGTCGTTATAGCGTTGGACTGATCGCGGCTGACCGAACGCGAGAACGCGAGCGCCCGCGCGATGCTCCTTGCTGCAGACTGATGCTCCGGTGATGACCACGGTAACAGCGTTTGGCGCGAAAGGGCGCGGACCGAATTGCCTACCAATCGCGACGTTGCGATCAGGAACCACCGCGCCAATGACAGCGGCAGCGGTGATAATCGAATAAACACCTTGGAGCAAGTGGCACTGCGACAGCGACATCAAAGGCGCCTTTGCGTTCAATAAGACATTGAAGGTTCGCGCAAACACGCGCGCTTAGCCTCTTGAAGAGGCGCCCTGGACGGCCCAAGAGAGCTCTAAGACGGCCCCAAGGAGGGCCCAAGAGAGGGACCACAAACCACGAATTCTAGCGCTCCCCCCAACGAAGCTCTCCAGAGGACCCAAGAGGCCCCCAAGCGGCCCCAAGAGGCCTCCATGAGGCACCCAAGGGGCCCCCAAGAGGCCCAAAAGAAGCCGCAAAACGGCTCCCCAAACCCTTCGAAACTGCCTCGAAGAGGCCCACGAGAATCCTCACCACGAGATCCCAACGGACATCCCAACGGCAGCCCACCAGGGGCCGCCAAGGAACGGATCGGGACGAAGCGTGGGTCCCGGAAAATACGATAACAGCAACGAAGCACAAGGAACGATAGATCGAGCACAGTGTCATGATTCGGACAAGCTTCGTGGAATGCAGTCCTGGAGGCGCAGTAGTTTACAGAGGGGTCGGCGGACGTGGCGTAAGCCTGTATAATAAATACACACAAACAACAAGATCCCCATTATTTTTACACAGTTTATGGGTTTTGTTTCCCCCCCCCACTTCCCATGGTTTCCCATATCTTCCTGGGAATCGACGATTCATTGTGTCTGCATGTTTTTTCCCCTCCTTGCCTCCCTGGCCACATCCTGGTACGACCCCCGCGCCATTTTGGCTGCGCCCCAACCCTGGTTGGTTAATCATGCATGTGCGCGCTCCTGGACCTGGCCCCTGGCAGCCGCAGCCTGCACCCCCCCCCTCGCGCCGGCCCGCCCGCCGAGGCGCTGCTGAGGTCGCCGGCCCGTCGGCGTTAGGCAATTCGGCTCCTGCGCGGCCCGCGCGGACCTCACTCGCCGCTGGCGCCCTCGCCTGCGGTTGCGACAAAAAGTTGTTTCCCCTCCTGATGACACGCGTCGAGAGCTGAAATCGGAGATGACGATGAGGAGGGAGGAGGGAGGAGGAGGAGGAGGAGGAGGAGGAGGAGGAGGTCACGCTGGCGCTCACCACCAAGTACAAGTACCTTGGAGGGTATATCGATCAGAGCTTATCGATGAGCCCCGAGGTCTCCCACAGGTGCCATCAACTGCAGCAACCTCTTGGGATATTTAAAAAAGACGGTCTTTAACAACAGGGCCCTCGGCATGAGATACAAGATCCCGTACGTGAACAAAATATGCATACCACACCTGCTGTACAACGCCTCGACTTGGAATGAATGAACGGCCAAACAGAAAGAACGGATTATTAACCATTTATTCATGACATTTCGTGCAGCAACTGGTCTTCGATACAACGGGCAACATGATGATAACTTATCTATGGCAAGGCTCATGACGTTCGTGCGGCGGCTTCCTGCGGCACGCGTGATTCAGATGAGGAGACTACGACTACTACATAGAGTGATCGAAGTAGCGCCACCCGTCGTGTTGTCTTTGCTCGACGAGGCAGCGTTGATCCCAGGCACTTGGGCGAACCTAGTGTATCAAGACTTGCAATTCGTAGCTCGCATTGTTACGCTCCCAGGCAGGGAACGACCATATGGTCCGCCAGCATGGTGGATCCAGATGGTTAGGGACCTAGAGTCGAGATACTGGAAGCGCGTATGTAGGCAGGCTGAGAGGTTAGCGTTTCGTGCCGAACTGACACAGGCGGCGCTTCAGGCATGGATTGATGAAATCCAGTATTTTTGTAAATTGCACGGCCAGGCGCTCCCCTCCTTCGTGCTGCCCCCTCCCCCTCCTTTGGCCTGGCCGTGTACCGAATGCGAGCTTGTTTTCACGTCCAAGGCCTCCTTGCTGAGCCATCGCAACAAAGTGCATCCCACACTCGATGCGGCAAGCAGCATTGCGATGGGCTCGAAGTGCCACTCGTGTTTGCACGACTTTCACTCACGGCTTCGTCTCATCAAGCACTTCAGGCACGGTGCTAAAGCGTGCCTAGCCAATTCACTAGCAGTGTTGAAGCCCATCTCTGATGAGATTCTAAGTCAGCTTAAAGCCGAGGATGCCCTGGCCTCGCAGCAGCTGAGGAGACAGGGCTAATACGGCGAGAAGGCTTCGCTCCCTCCGACGCAATTTGCTGGACCCAGCTTGGAAGGTGCGGCGCTGGCGCTGGGGTACGAACCTGTATCCCCGTCGTCGTTTGTGAGGCCTGTTGTCTTGGAAGCGGAGCAGGCGCCCCAGGTCCTCGTGCGCGCGCCTGCACAGTGTACACCATGCTTCGTCGTGCACGTTGGTATAGATGCTGTGCGTGCGCCTGGTGACTTCCAAGCACGTCTCGAGGCTCGCGCAGCAACTGCGGGAAGGCCCATTTTTGCATTGCAGGTTTCGCAACTTCAGGCTGCATCGTATCAAGATCGTTGTCTGTTTGTCAGCCTCATGTTTCAGGGCCTGGTGGCCGCGACCATAGCTGTCCCACCAGCTCGGACGTGGACACGATGTCAGGACCCGCCCACAAAGCCTACCAAATCACTCGACTGGCCACGAGGAACACCGCAAGTGCAGGCTAAGCGGCAAGAGTTACTCCAGACGGAGAACTCCATGCTCCTGTGTGCCGTGATGCTCGTTTACTTCGCCAGTGCCTGTCAGGTGTCATGTTGCTTGTGCTTCCCTCGTGCGCGTGTGTCATGCTGTTCACCTTCTCCTTGGGAAATCCCAGAGGTCCGTGAATGTTTGACCAGCACCAGGCTCACCAGGTGCATGTCAGGCGGGTCGAGATTTACGTTCCATTCAGCATACATGCCAGGGCTCCCAGAAGATGGAGCCGTCGAATGTGTATCTGAATTTCTTATCGAGAGAGTCGTTGACGCAATTACTTTTGCACAAAACACCAACGTGCGCGACGAACCACCTTCGGATGTGCTCGCACGATTTTACGTGCCCCTTGACCCGTACGGGTCGGTGGATGAGCCCTGAAGGTGAAGTACAAGGCCACCCGTGTTCGGTCTCTCTCTCTCTCTCTCTCTTGTGCATGTATGTTCGCTACGACTCATGGTCTTCAGATCTGTTCGCAGGAGGAGGAGGAGGAGGAGGAGGGGGAGGAGGAAGGAAGGAGGGAACGCTACCGGTCGACACCCGCGTGAACCTTCGGAGGCCCACGCAGAGCCGTCGGGTCGGCGCTGGAGCCCTTCCTTCTCCACACCCGCGTCCGGGCGGCGAGGAGGAGGAGGAGCAGGGAAGGCTAGTGTTAGGTCGGGCCCGTCCCTCTGCAGGAGAAATATTCAAAAATAGTCAAAAAATAGCCTGGGGACCATTTGTTTGATCATTGTTTGACCATTTGGGAGTATTTGGGGATTTGTTCGTCCCAAATTCCCCTGCAGGGGGACACGCCCGACTTAAGGCCAGTGAGAAGAAAGAGGACGAGGACGAACAGGGCATGATGATGACAAGGAAGACGGATAAGCGCAGGGCGCACAGAAAGCAGGAGTTGCAGGCGGGTGAGTAGGATGAAGAGGGAGAATAAGACAGAGAGAAGTAGGGAATTGAATAGTATGGAGCAAAGCTGGAGAAGCGAGGCGAGCGAGGGGGAGATCGAGGGGGGGGGAGAGGAGGAAACGAAGCGACGCGAACGCTTGGAGTCGTGCGCGCTGCTCTGGGGAGCCCGCAATACAGCCCATCAGGGCATGGCGTGGAGGCCGTGGCCTCAGACACGTGATGCGCAGGCGGACCCACGTGGTGAGCACCATTCAGCCCTCCCGGCGGCTGATAACCATCTCGAGTCGACAGGAGGTGCAATACAGTCGGGGCGTTGACCTAAGGAACCCTAAATAAGGAACGAGGCCCCTTGATCCCAAAAGTTAAGCTTCGATTTCCAATGGAAAACCTCAGGAACACCCAAGCCAAGCTGTAAAACAATCAAGGAACACCGAGCCCCTCCCCAACGAGAAGGGTTCCTTCTTCAGCGCCCTGACTGTAAGCACCACTCAGCCCTCCCGGCGGCTGATAACCGAGTCGCGAGGGGGTGCAATACGAGGCAGGACGGGCAAGGAACTCGGGATGAGACAGGGAGCAGGGAGGGGGAAGGGAAGGGGAGGGGGAGGCGGTGGAGGGGCGGGCCTCTTTGGACTGCAGCGTGCCTGCGCCTACAGCGAGCCAAACGTTCAAGCTTCAAGGAGCCCGCCAGCATCCCCCGCCAAAGACAGCTCTGTGCAGGCGTGCCTACATCGCTCACGGGGACAACGTGGACTTAAGAAACCTCCCACAAGAAACCCAACCCTGAGACCCCAGGACGTCCATCGCTTTCTGGTGCGGGAACGTCGCGCTTTCCATGGTAAAACCATCGACCCCCTGGAGGGAAGCAGGGTGATTCTTGGCATGGGTCTCCAGTGTACATCGCTCACTGGGGCCATGTGGACTACCCAGATCGGCGGTGTCAGCAGATACAGTGAAATGCTGTGAACAGGAACGATCAACCAGGAACGAAGCCCTTTTGGGCCCCAGAAGCGCCTGCGTGCACGAGGGCTAGAGAAACAGCCATGGAACAACCCAGGGAACATCGAGTCCCTTCCGAACCCAACCTGTTCCTTATTTCAGCGCCTTGGCTATAGAAAGGAGAGAGATGACGATATCGAATCGGATCGGCTGCGCCAAGATAAACCACATCGTCATGCAAATGTCGGGTCGCATCGGATCAGCAGGAAATCGAAATCGAATCGGATCGGGCCTGCTGGAATCGGCATCGAATGTTATCTATATGAACCCTGCCCAGAGAGGCGGTGCCGGCAGACATGAGGGTGTTTGTTTGAGCTCCATGCCCAACGCCTCCGAATGACTGACAGTTTCGGCCCAGCACAGCTGCAACGGAGGTGTAGCCGACAGAAAGCAGGCATGAACCAGAAGCATCACCCTGGCCGCGGGCGCCGATGGAAGGCATGAGCGGCTCGTCGTCGTCGTCCTCCTCCTCCTCCTCCTCCTCCTCCCCACAGCCGGGCTCCTGGCATAAGGAGCGCCCACATGCGGAACGGAGCCCCTCCTGGCCCCCCGAAGCGCCCGCGCGGACGAGGAGCGCTGGAGAGAACCCGCCACAGAAGGGCCCAAGGAGCCTCGAGCCCCGCCCGAACCCAGATCGGCGGCGAGCCGGGGGGGAAGCGAGGAGGAGGAGGAGGCGGAGGAGGAGGAGGGGGAGGGGGAGGAGGAGGAGGGGAGGAGGAGGAGGAGGAGGAGGAGGAGGGAGGAGGAGGAGGAGGAGGAGGAGAAGGAGGGGGAGGAGGAGGAGGAGGAGGAGGAGGAGGAGGAGGAGGAGGAGGAGGAGGCAGGCCGACGGAGAGAAGACACGAGCCGGAGGCGTCACCCCAGGAGAGCCCAGAGTCGAATCGACAAGTCGGAGAGGCAGGCGATCGAAAGGACTCAGGGCGGAAATCGGCGGCCGAGTCGGGAGAAGTCGAATCGGCGGAGATCGGCAGGCTGAGGCGCCACCAGGGAGGAATCGGAGTGCAAATCGGAAGCCGAACTTGAATCAAGTCGGAGCCAGAAGCCATCGAGATCGAATCGCGGAGGAATCGAAAGGAGCCCTGTCACCCTGGCCGCGGGCGCCGATGGGAGGCACAAGCGGCTCGTCGTCCTCCTCATCCCTGGCGAGGGGGCTAAGCGGCCACAGCAGCACCAGGCGACGCGGGGAGGAGGGGGGGCTCCGAGGGAATTCGCTGCATCCAGGAGCGCTCTGAAGGGCCTTCTCTCAATCGAAGCAGCACTACAGCTGCCCCGAAACTCGGGGGTTGCTAAGAGTGCCCCTGGCCCAGGGTGCCCCCTGCTCCCCGCTCAACGTCGGAGCTCTCGAGGCCCTCTGGGCCTGGCGAGGGGTGCTCTGGAGGCCGTGGGCGCTTCCTTGGACACCCTGCGGGGGCACCTCGGGCCAGGGTCGCTTCTGGCAACACCCGAGAAACCATCCCAACCACAACGTCCCGATCACGACCGGCCGTGAGCGGTCTGAAAGGGTCCACGGTCGGCCCGAAGTGGCTGCAATCCGCCCCGGTCCGCGGCGCCGAGGCGCCTCCTCCTCCTCCTCCTCCTCCTCCTCCTCATTCCCCCTCCTCCTCCGCGTCCCCCCGCGGGGCGGCCCGCCGCCGCGATTCCTCGGGCGGCTGGGGCTGCTTCTCGGCCGTGGGCGGCTCCTCCGCCGCCGACGCGGGGGGGTCCTCCGGGGGATGTCTCCCGCGGGCCCGCCGTTGCCGTCGGCGGGCGCCAGGGGCGAGGGGAGCAGAAGGGAGGGGAGGAGGAGGAGGAGGAGGAGGAGGAGGAACAGAGAGCACGAGGCGCGCCGCCGAGAGTGGGGGGGAGGCGCGCGGGGAAGGAGGGGCAGGGGAGAAAAAACTCACGCCTGCTCCCCCTCTCGAGCTCCTTCCTCCGATCTCCGGCTCCGTCCCCTCCCTCTTCGCTGCCCCCTTCCTCGCTCCTGTCCTCTCCTCCTCCTCCTCCTCCTCCTCCTCCTCCTCCTCCTCCTCCTCCTCCTCCTCCTCCTTCTTTTCTTGCTCCTCCTCGTCCTCGTCCTCCTCCTCCTCCTTCTCCTCCTTCTCCTCCTCTCCTCCTCCTCCTCCTCCTCTCCTCCTCCCTTCCTAAGCCCTCGTTGTCGCATGCCTTACTCTCATGGATAACTCCGTTTCCTTCATTTGCAACGACGTCCGTCTTCAATAATCGTAACCGCTGCAATAATGGATGGGGTCGTAATAAAGCTTGCAACAGTGGAATGTATTGAGACACCGGGGTCAAAATGGGATTCTCGCCGAGATGACGCGCATGTTCTCCTTACCGTTTGCAGTAGTTGCAAGAGTAGAGGGCGGCTCCTTTTCATTCGCGGAGTTGTCACCTGCACGCCGCGCACGTTCCTTTCATTGAGGGATGAACAAAAACGACCCTACCCTGGGTTACAAGTGCGTGGTCTGTAAACCTCCTGGGAACCCCCATAACCTAGAGCCGCCAGGACGCGGCACATCACGCAGGGTTTACCCTGTCAGCCCATAGGAAATTCAGCGCACAGCGCCTCGTAAACCAGGGCTGGGGCGTTTTTTGTATGCCCTTGATTTCAGGCTATCGCAGCAGTCTGCCTTTGACACTTCACTGAAGTGCATGACCAGCGTGTACAACAGTGGCAGCAAATCGCGGATGCGGGAGCGTGAATTTTCAAAATTGGGATCTCGCTGGACGCCTCCTCGAACTGTATGATCCTTCCTTTCTGGGTTCCAAATGTCTCCGAAAGGGGCCCCAGGACACACAAATAAATACACACAAATAAAAAGATTCCCCATACTTTCTGATATTTTCTGGGTTTCTGTCTTCCCGCCCAATTCCAATTTTTTCCCATACTTTCTTCGGGATCGCCAATTAATTGTGTATGTGTGTCTTTTCCCCTCCTGACAAATGTCTCGTTTTACAGATGCCAAACGACTCCAGGTCTCGAGTCCGTGTTCGTCCAGATCGCCGGCCCATGCGACGGCCCTCGTGTTGCAAAGGGAGCGCTTCTTTTTTACTACGAGAAAGGAAGGCTTGTGTGGACATTTTAATTTGGGGACTTTGGAAGGGACGGTACGTTGTAGCATCCTGAAAGCCTGGTGGGCGTGCTATGGCGTTGTACCGCCTACTCCTCCTGCTCCTCCTGCTCCTGCTGCTCCTGCTGCTCCTCCTGCTCCTGTTCCTGCTCCTCCTCCTTCTCCTCCTCCTCCTCCTCCTCCTCCTCCTCCTCCTCATCGCCCTCCTTCTCCTCCTCCTCCCTCCCCTACGTTCGTGCTCCTTGTGGACCAACAATAGCAGGCGCGCCGCTGGATCACCCAAAGGGGGGGGGGCGGGACTTCCACCCCTTTCCCCGATCGGTCGTCGGCGGACGCCCCACGCCCGCTCCTTCGTCGGCGGACCCCCCCCCCCTTTCCCGATCCGTCGCCGGCGGACCCAGGCGACGGACCCCCTTTGGGGGTCCGGACCAACCCCCCCCTCTTTTCGAAGTGGGGGTCCAGATCCCCCCCCTTTGAGCGTGAAATTCGGACCCCCCCCCTCCCCTCCTTTCGCCACGCCGCCCCAATCCCTGCCCTAACCCCTAACCCGTAACCCAACCCCCCACTCCTAACCCTAACCCCTACCCTACGCCTAACCTTATCCCCGATCACTGCTCCCTATTAACATACACCCCCTCCCCCAGGCGACTGGGAGCCAACCCGAATCAATGAGGGCAACCCCCCACCATCCCTTTTTAAGAGCACAATGTGAAACACACTCTGCCTCCAAATTCGGAGCATGCGCAGCGAAACCGATGCGGCCTCCCCCCACCATCCCTATCAAAAACACTACAGAATACACTTGGCGGCGGCGGCGGCGGCGGCTGCGGCGGGGGCAGCGGCTGCGGCGGCTGCGGCGGTGGCGGCGGCGGTGGCGGCGGCGGGGTGCGGCGGCGGCGGCGGGTCGGCGCGCGGCGGGCGCAGCGGTGGGGGCGGCGGCGGCGGCGCGGCTGCTGCGCGGCGATCGGCGGCGGGAGGGGGGCGGCGGCGGCGGCGATCGGCGGCGGCGGCGGCGGCTGGGGAGGAGGAGGAGGGGGGTCGAGGTAAGGCTCGCACGTGGCCCCTATTCCTGAGGAGGCCTGCCCCCCCCCCCTTCCCCCGAGGGAGGTCACGGGGAAGGCCGCTGCCCTCTCGCTTCCCCCCCCCTGGGCGCTCTTGTACGGCTTCCCCCGAGGTCGCAGGCGCCCGAGGAGGAGGAGGAGGGGAGGAGGAGGAGAGGAGGCGATGAGCGCGGAGGGAGGAGGAGGCGATGATGAGAGAGGAGGGGAAGGAGGAGGCGGAGGAGGAGGAGGAGGAGGAGGATGAAGGAGGAGGAGGTGGAGGAGGAGGAGGAGGAGGAGGAGGAAGAGGAGGTGGAGGAGAAAGAGGGGTAGGGCTCGCACGTGGCCCCCTATTCCGAGGAGGCCAGCCCCCCCCTTCCCCCGAGACCTTCCAGGAAGGCCCGCTGCCCTCTCGCTTCCCCCCTGGGCGCTCTTGCACGGCTTCCCCCGAGGTCGCAGGCGACCCGAGGAGGGAGGAGGAGGAGGAGGAGGAGGAGGAGGAGGAGGAGGAGGAGGGGTCGCCAAAACCCTTCGGAGGAACCCTCCAAGCGCGCTGCCGAGTCTGCTTTCCGGGTCGCAGCTCGGGTCTCTGGCCGCCGCCCGGGGCTGTCCACGCAGCCCCGGACGCCTCGCGGCGAAGCGCGGCTGCCGGCACGCCCCCCGAGGCCGGAACAAACTGGGCGGAACGACGAAAACGCACCCCAGAACCGCAAGCGAAGGCTAGAACATCGAAGGCTCAGGAGGGCCTGGCTTCCTTTTTGAAACCGCCTGAACCCTCCCGAAACCCTCCGCAAACCCTCCAGGAAGGGTTGCGGGAGGTTTTTTGGAGGGTTTCGAAAGGGCTTTGGAAGGGTTTTCGACGTTTTGGGAGGAAACCAATCCCTGGCGAACCTTGGGCTTCCTAAAACTAGGGCAACGGTCTTTGCGCTCCGCGCTCCGCGAAGCGCGAAACGGGAACAACTTCGCGCTCTCGCACCGCCCGCCCGCCCGCCCCCCGCCCTCGCCCTGACACCGCCCAGGCCGCGGCAACGCGAAGCGCGGCCGACTTCGCGCCCTCGTGGTGGCCCTGGCCCGAGCCTCGAGACCCTCCCCGCCGACCACGCGGGACAAAACCGCTTCAACCCTGGACGATCGCCCCGCCTGAGGACCCCAGAAAGCACGTGGCCCGAACCCACGGCTCTGGAGCGCCAGACAGCACCGAAACGATCCGCACATGCACGCGGGAATGAGCCTTCGACGCCAGCGTCCTGTGCACAGGAAAGGTGAGCATTGCGCCAAGGGTACCCTTGCATCGGTGCGGGCTCTTGCGTGGTACATGCTACGACCCTCGACGGGCCGTAGCGCAACATGGAAGGCCGTGAGGGGGGGCCGTTCCCTTGGTCGAAGACTGGCGCTCCTTCGCGGGAGTGGCCGCGCCGCTCGCCGCGGCCGCCACCTCGGCCGCCTCCAGCAGCGCGTTCACCTCGGAGAGCTGCGCCCTGGACAGGCCAGACCTTACGCTGAGCGCGCCCACCGAGGAGGGGGGAGGAGGAGGAGGAGGAGGAGGAGGAGGAGGAGGAGGAGGAGGAGGAGGAGGAGGAGGAGGAGGAGGAGGAGGAAGGGGACCAACAAGTTCTCTTAACGATATTGCAACTGCAGGAAGCCCAGCCCACCTCCAAGTTTTCACTGAAAAACAGCCCCGTTGGAAGACAACCGTTTGGAAAGCCAGAACTGTGCCAGAACACGATTCCTGGAACTTCAACGCAACGAATCAACCTTAATCTTGCGTCTTGACGATCCTGCATCGCACCAAAACGCCATTGCTGGGACTGCAACACCACAACTCACCGTACCTGATGAGCCCCGATGGTGCGACACCGTGCCAAGGCACTAATCCTGGGACGGTAACCGTGAGAATCCTTGAAATTGTTGTAGACTCATACTGCGAATGTGCGCGGCGCCAGAGCGAGAGCCACATGTTGAACCAGGGGGCCGCGGTCCATCCGTGAAGCTCTCCCACGTCTGTCGAAAGGAATGCGCGCGGCGCGATGACGAGACCCACATTTCGAAAGCGGCTGGCCCTTCATCCGTCAAGCTCTTGCGAATTGTCGCAACGAGCGCGCGCATCTCTGGAGCCCAAGCCACAGCTTGAAAGCGGACCGCCCTCCATCCACGAATCTCTTGCGCTTTCTAGAACGGGTGCGGGCGGCGGGGGAGGAGGAAAAAAGTAGGAGGAGGAGGAGAGGGAGAGAAGGTGAAGGGGCAGGAAGCGGCGGGGAGGCAAGGGCGGAGGAGGGCGCAGGAGGGTGAAGAGAAAGGATAGGGGGAGAGATGGGGGGGTGGAAGAGAGAAGGGCGGGAAAACCTTCTTCTGTTTTGAGCAGGGACCGACCGTCCCGGCATTCCTATAGTCCTGCCACGAAATGTTCTTAGAACCCCAAAAACTCCCGGGACAAATCGATATTCTTATAACATTAGCCCTATGTACTAAAACAAGACAGCCTCGGTCAGAAATGTTCTGAGAACATTTCGTGGAAACCACAAAAGGTTCTTAGAACGTTGTTTGGTAGGGCTTTAGGCGAGGCAGCACGCTTCGCAACTGCTTGACTGCAAGGTTCCAGCCCTTGACGATGGCCCAACGCGGGGCGCTGAACGCCACTTTGGGCGCCCAGGGCGTCCCACGGAGGAGGAAGGTGAGGAAGTCGGGCGGGGAGATCACGATGGACGGAGCGGCCAGGGAGAGGCCGGAGGGAGGGGACTCCCGCACCCTCCGGCAACTCCTCCACCCTGCCCCGGGTCCGAGGAGAAACAATCCAGACCCTCCCGAGTCATGAAAAACACGACGGACGAATTTTGCTCTGTTCGGCCTCTGGGGGCCCTCGCCGGTCCCCGGGACCGTCAACAACGGCCCACGATAAAAAATCGGACCCGGGGAACGGGTCGAGAGCCCTGGGGGTCGACCATATGAACAAAAATCATGACGACGGGGTGTGGGGAGGATGGGCAGAGGAGAGAGGACCATGAACACAAGGACGAGGCAGCAGTGGGACGAAACAAGGAGAGGAGAGGCGAGGAGAGGAGGACCCATGAAGGGGCAGGGCGAGGATGAGGCAACAAAGAGGAAGCGGAGAAACAAGTACGAGGCAGAGTATCACGGGGGGAAAGGGCAAGAGGCGGGAGAAGAAGCTAAAGGAGGAATACTACATGGCAGGGGATGAAGCAGGAGGTGGAGGGAGGATATATCACAATATGATGCGAATACCAGCTTGGCAAGAGAAGGACACTGGCCATTCTGGGCATACGGTACACACTGAAGACGCGACGGGGTGTAAGAAACCATCACTCGTCAACGGGACGAGACGGCAGGAAAAGGAAGAGAGTGAATGACCATGGCTCGGGTCTCCGCGGCCGTCTGGGATGATCCGGGCATGCCCGAAAGCTCTCGACGAGGCGCAGCTGATGGGACTCTCCGCAGGTATCGGGAACCTCGTACAAACTTTTGGCGAACCCCGAAGACAGTGCGCAGTTCCCCCTCGGGCCTGCCCCCCCCCCTCTGCGTGTGCCTGAGGTAAGGATGTCGTGGTGCGAGCCGCAGCGCGTCGTATTCGTGCTTGCGGTCGGCCC